TAAATGATTAATAATTTAGAAAAATAATATTTTATTACATAATTTATTCTAAATCTTTAATAAAAGAAATAATGTTTTTTTTAATTTATCAAATTTCATTAAAATTATTGTTTGTATTTAATTATTTTGTTGTCATTTCTAATAATTATAAATAAAAAAAACTACACTAAATTAATAAAATTTGAATTGTAAAAAGTATGTTTTAAAAAAATGAATATGTGACAAGGAAATAATTAAATTAAAATAATTAAAATTAGAAATAGTTTCATTTATATTTGACAAGGCTGTAAGAATTAACATATATGGAATAATATTTCAGGAAGTCACTATTTCCTTATCAATGAAATAAATCTTTTGTAGGAAGTTTGTAGGAAGTTTATCCTCTCATGTTATCTCTTTTTTTTTTTTCTCATCAGTTGATTGTTGAAAAACATTAATGATTATTGGACCATTTCTAATAATTAGATTTTAATTCATCTATTTGAATATATTCGATGAAAATTTAATTAAATCTTTAAATCTGCCGAAAAGGAAATCGATATTATCGCGTTAAAAAAAAATAAAATGTTCGAAACCATAAAAAATTCTATTAATTTTCAAATAAATTTTACGAATTTCATATATTTTTCCATATTTATATTAACTCTTAATTTTTTACAAAAGCTTAAAGAATAATTCATATTCGTACAATAATTTTATTTAATAATATTTATTTAATTCATTATATTTAAAATTTAAATATATATATAAAAGATTTCAGCATAAAAAATTGAAGAATATTTGCAAACCATATTTTATTTCTTTTTAAAACTTCTTGACTTTTTTTTTTATAAGAAAAAAAATTTAAATGATTTAAATCCTATTTCAAAAAAAAATGGACGATTCCATTTTCAATATTATAGTTTTCATAGAAAAGTTCAAGAGAAAAAAATTCTACTTATGAATTTATAAAATTTATCAAATATATGTATAACTCATGTTTGTATGAAATAGTTATATTATATATGAATAATTATACTTTTGTACTTACTTTTTTTGAAGTTATTTGTTGAAAATTTTACTTTAAATCACAAAAATATTAATTTTATAATAAATAAGATCGGAATGCACTACAACCATGTATAAACTGACTTCCCGCCGTGATGAAACTAGATAGCCACCTGGCGGAAAACTAAAAAAGTAATCGAAGAAATATTTCTGTGATTGGTTGAATTTAAACCGCTGTAAAAAGCGGTTGTTGTGTGTTCAACGTATAATGTCAACGGCTTCGGTAGTGGTATATATTCGTCGAAGAAATAATTTTTCGATAATATCAGTGAAAATCTGTGATAGAAATGTATAACATGCATCGTATTATCGGATTAATAATTAAAAATCTAATAAATTGATATTTATAACGATATAAGAATTGTAAGAACGAAATAATCGATAGAAAATCGTTACAAATTAAACTGCGTGGTTTGTACACATATGACAAAATATCTTAATTTCCTTCAAACAAGTTCTACAACAATTTGAAGATGACTGCGTCGTTATCGTTGCTGGCAAGCCACGATGAAGTGGTTCGCTGTACAAATGTACTCGTAAATGGAGCTTGTGAAGAAGGTTTGATTTTCACATAATTATTTTATATAATGTTTTATTAATTAATTTGTATTAATATCTCTTTTAATATTAAGTCATAATTATAATTTATTACTAATACTAATTTAATTATTAATTTATTTCTTTAAAAATCATATAAAAATACTAGGAAATGTATATAAATAATATAAATATTATTATGTTTCATATATATATATTTTATATCAAATGTTTTATCATTCGTTATATGAAAATTTTTATCATTTTTAATTTATGTAATATTTTTTTATATTTTTATTTACGCTGTAATAAATTGAAGAAATTTTAATATATAAATATATAAAATATGAATATAAGAAAATGTAATCGTCATTTTATTCCTGAAATATAATTTTAAATAACATATTAAATTGAAAAAACATATTTTATTTTTCTATAGAATTTTTAAAATTTGCTATAAATCAAGAAGAAATGAGACAAAAATGGTTAGCATCTATACAAGAATGTCAACGTCTTCATACAGCTTTAGAAAAAGCTCATCAAGAGGCAGCTGATTTAGATAGAAAATTAAGTCATGCTAGAAGACTTCTAGATGAAGAGAAAAAAAGAAGACGTACTGTTGAAGAACAAAGAAATTCATTGGTAAATATATTTAATTTATAATTTTCAAGCATTTAAAAAGAAATATTTTTTTAATCATATATATTTAGGAAAGACAAATTGCTATGGTTAGAGATCTTTTATTTAATGATGGTGGAAGAAATTTAAATGATGAAACTCGTGAAAAATTACAATTTTTAAATAATACTACATTAAATGGTCGACATAGTAATATACATATTAAAGATGTTCATCAAAATGAAAAGTGAGTTTCTTTTTATGAAAAATATATTTGATATTTAAATATTTGATTGATATTTTAAAATTCAATAATTATTATTTTCAGATTAAATACTATAGCGGAGCTGGACTCCACTGGCTCTATTTTAAGTGATTTAAGTTGTTTTTCAAAATCAGAAGATGATTTAGATATTAGTGCAATCATTCAACAAAATCAAAAGAAACGTGAATGGAAAGAACACAGACCTAGTGGTGAATATTCCGCAAAAAAGCGACGTAGCGGAACACAAAAAACCACAGAATTAACTTCATCTGATAGAATAGTAGCCACAACTACAGTAGTGATGCCAAAAGATGGCAATATCACTGCATCTTCTGTAATTGAAGCTATACCTGGAGATGAGAATCTAGATCCACAGGGTCCTTTACATAATTCACCTAAAAGACGTAAAAGTGGTGATCGTAGTAGATCAAAGTTAACACCTCTTAATACAAATGAAATACAAATTGATACTGCTGTAAATAATTTTATTTAAAAGAAATATTTTTTTCATATTTTTATTCTAATTTTAATATTAAAATTATATTATAGCCATCTGCACCAAAAATAGAAGCTCTTACATCAGGATCAGATTCTGAAGGTATCTTTAAACCTAGTCCAAATATTGGAGGATATACTTTAAATACAAAATCAGCTAGAGGACATAGTTTTATAGCAAAGACAGTAATTAAACCAGAAGTTTGTACACCCTGTGATAAAAGGTAAAATATGTATGGAAGAATATTTATAAAAAGAGATAATAAAATAAGAATTATAAAAACAATTTTAATTAATTTAATATAGAAGTATTGTAAATATTACATTTAATATTTCAGAATTCGTTTTGGAAAAATAGCCTTGAAATGTAAAGATTGTAGAGCTACAGCTCATACAGAATGTAAAGATTTAGTGCCATTGCCATGTATACCTACTGGAAATACACCTACATTACGTGGTACATCAGTGAGTATTTTAAATTTAGAAAATATTTATTAATTTATTAATAATAAAATCGTAACAAATTATTTTTAGGGAACAATAGCAGATTATACACCTATGATTCCACCAATGGTACCATCATTAGTTGTTCATTGTATTAATGAGATAGAATTAAGAGGAATGAGTGAACAAGGATTATATAGAGTAAATGGTGGTTCAGCAGAAGTAAAATATCTAAAAGAAAAATTCCTTAAAGGCAAAGGTGCCCCTAATCTTTCCGACGTTGATATTCCTACCATATGTTCTACCCTTAAAGATTTTCTTAGGTACATTATTAAAATAATTCATAGAAAGAAAAAAATTAATCAACTTATAAAATTTCTTTTATTACTTTTACGTCATTAGATCATTACGAGAACCGTTAATTACTGTCGGATTATGGGCAGACTTTGTTCGTGCAACTACTATTACTGATAAACAAGATGCTGATGCTGCTTTATACCAAGCAATTTCAGAATTACCTCAACCTAATAGAGATACACTTGCCTTTTTAATTTTGCACTTACAAAGAGTATCAAGCAGCCCAGAGTGTAAAATGCCAATAAGTAATTTAGCTAAAGTTTTTGGACCTACTTTGGTGGGTTATAGTTCTCAGAAACCATCACCTACTTCTCTTCTTTCCGAGACGAATAATCAAGTTGCTGTTAGTATAAAAAATGAAAAATTGAAAATATTAATTAATGTTTAACTTGATTTTTTAAAAATATAAGATTTTTATCTTTTATAGATCGTAGAAAGTTTATTGAAAATTCCCTCAGATTATTGGGCAAATTTCGTCAATCCTGAAAATATACATAATATTGGTACTCATAAAACTGGTGAATTACAACATACACCATCCCAGGAATCTTTACTTAAACGTAGTATTTCCCGTGGTTTCTTTAATACTCCACTTGCTTCTAGGTTTGTATCTCCATTTTTTTTCTTTTTTAACTTGACTATAATGAGATGATACTTATACTGAGATATTCTTACAGTCGATCATTTATGAGAAAAAATAAAAAATACTTTGGGACATCTCCCTCTAGAGTAGCCTTCTAATGGTATGTACTTACATATTATGTTTTCATCGACACATCAACACAGTACAAATAATTCGTAAATAATTATTTACTGTTTGATTAGTATTTTTTCATGTGCAACATGATATTTCTACAGTTTATTCAAAATTTTGTAATATTTTGATTAAAATATGTAATGTATGTAATGTATGGTATAGAATATTGTTAAAATATTGGAAAAGTACAATATTAGAGATTCGTAAAAATGAAATAATAATATATTATGTTAAGTATTTTCTATAATAATCTGAAATATATGAAAAATGTGCTGATATTGATATAGTTTCAACATTTTTCTAAATTGATTAATAGATTAATATAATATAAAAATGAAATGTTACGTATAGAAAAATAAATAAATGTCATATTTTTGTTAGTTTATATCATCTTTAAAAATGTAAAAATACGAATTTCTTTCTTTCTTTCTCAATGTGGCTTTACTTTCTTTTCTTATAAGTATATCAGTACACACATTAGTAACAAAAATTATAAATTTATTATCATCATTAATTTCGTAAACAAATATCTTATGCAAACTAAGTAAACTTGAAATATGTATTATAAACATTGCTTTTCAGTTCTTTTACATTGTTTTTTAAACACTAAAATATCTTATTAATTTTTGTACATACTTTCGTTTTCATAAGAATAATCGTATCACAAGTACATAGTATAGTTTAAATTATTTCTTAACTATTTAAATGAGATACTTATTTTAATAATAATGAAATTAAATTCCTTAAATATTATAATTAAGATGTTAACTTATAAAACAATATATATGTTATATATTTGATATTACTTGATATTTTAGTTCGTTTTCGTACATGATTTTTCTTTTATTTCCCAACAAGATTCCCAAAATTGTTTTAATCTGTTGTCCCCATTTGAACAAAAATGTCTAAAGTCTTGAATAAGTTTTTTTTGAAATAATTCATCGCCAATTAATGTAGATGACGATCTCCATTTTCGACTAATCATATGATTCCATGACCAAAGAAATCCAATCTAAATAAACAAAAATTAATTTCTCTTACTAAAAAAAAGAAATTACAAACACTTACCCTTTTATCTTTATTATAATCATCTTTATTTTTCCCGCTAACATGTCTTGTAATATATGCTTCATGAGGACTAGGTTGATCAGAATGAATTGGATATCCTTTCTGTCCCGTATTTCGTCTTACAATATTGGTAGCAGTTCGAGGACGAGCTTTTGTGTTTATTGTAGAAGGAATTAATATAAATGCATTGCCAGTCATGTGAACATATTGATGATCATTTTCAGTACTTTCTATTAAACATGGAACAAAACCAAATCTTTGTATGATTGTTTCTTGAAACAGAAAGAATCTTTGTGCGTAAGTTTCTTCTCGAAATTCTGAAATCGATGATATAAATGCAATCTCTTTCATTTTTTATTGTATATTTAATTATATAAAATAAAATTTGTATTAATTCGTATTATTATCTAAATCAAACCTTCAAAAAGATGCCGTTTGTTTGCCATGAGACATTCAGTATTTAATGGTATAAAAATAGGTCCCCTTAAAGGATCACTTCTTAAAGTGAATGGTAATGCTAGCAAATCACTGGGAATAGGAACCATTTGAATTCCACATGTTTGAGCCTTACGTTGGCACACAAATATCTTTCCAAATTAAGATTCAAGTGTAACAATTATATTTCAAAATATAATTTTGACTTATATAATATGAAGAAAATCTACTTACAAGATCAGCGACTATACTACCAGATGATGCAACCCATTGTACTACTAGTTCATAAGAATGATCCACTTTATATATAGATTGATATCTTAAATGTCCCCATTCAATCCTATCACTTTTATTGTTTATATCTATATCTAAATGAGTGTGTTTATATAATGGAACTAAAAAAAAATTCCCAATTAATATTATCATTTCTTTAGAATTAATAAAAGATAATAAAAAAATAATATATTTAAAATACCTTGCCACTCTGCCTCATCTGCAATGTCTGATATGTCTAAATCATCTTTAAGAAATGATACTACATTTGATTCATCTACAGTATCGCAACTAGGTATAGTCATCGGAGGAAATGATCCTGTCGAGGGAGGTTCGCACCAACCTTTGGGTGCTTTTATTTCAACTTCTACCCATTCATTTTCAAAACTTTGCAAATCTCCTAGAGGTGAAAAATAGTCTCCAGCTTAAAAATAAAAATTATATTAAAAAATAAATATCAAATTTTTATATAATTAATAAATATTAAATTATCTTACCTCTTTGATTTTCTTTATCTTGTACTATATGGTATAAATAAAATCCTAGAATGAATGGTTTTGAAAAATCTCCAGATGCATGACATATTAACTTATCCTGTATCATACCCTAAATGAAAATATATCATTAAAATATGATCAGTATAATTTCTTTATATATATATATAAAAAAAAAAAATTTTTACATTCATTATATTAATAGCATTCTCTACTGTCACTCCTCCTTCTATATGATTATTTAACCATTGTACTGCATCTGCACTGACAAATGTTTGGCTTGGAAGAGATGGATGTTGTGTAAGAAATCCCACTCCATTTTGCGAATGTTTCATTGCCTCTAAAATTTCATTATTTGATGCAGTATTTTTTAACTTCGTCAATTCCATGCTTGAACTGTTGACGACATTCAAATATTAATAAGATATCGATAAAAATAATTTATGTGATATATAAACTTGATGAAATTATATATTTTACCTATCTTCATTAGAATCAAAATGATCTTGCTGTTGCTCAAGTGAAAGAGGTAACACAGCTTCACTAGCGGGTGAGATTCGTCCTCTATCCATCACTTTGGAACCTGATCTAACAAAGATAAGTAAAATAATCAAGTAATACTTATAATGAAACATAGAAAAGAAACACAGAGCGATTGAAAAATTAAGCAATGTCTAAGATTGCAATATGGAAAGCAACAAAATTTATTTACATATGCATAATACCATTTGCATCTTTTTTCATACGATAATACAATATAGAATATCTTCAATTAATATGTATGTATATAAAAAAATATAAAATTGATTTTTTAATATTCAATTATAAAGTATAAAAATAGTTTTATTATACTGTTTTCAAAATTATAACTATGTTACTAATTATAATTATATTTATTATTATTCAACTAATTATAATTAATTATAATTAATTATGTTTCAATAATAATATATAAGATATACATACATATCTTTCCTTAATTGGAAAATATTTATATTTAAAGTTGAATTGAAAAAAGAATAAAACCAACCTGTTTGGCACGTGGCGAGGAGTGTCGAGGCACGTGCGGGCAGCCGCAGCGGTATTCACTACATGCCTCTCCTGTACAGAGAACCCCGTCACTCCCTCACTCACTACCAATATTTTCTACCATACAGAGTATTTGTACAATTTTAATTTTATTCTTGACAATTTTTTATAATATTTTATTATTAACTATATATATAATATATGGTACAAATACTCTATATATTATTTTTACTAAATGATGTAAAGAAGGATGAAAGCAGCTGAAAAGTATAGAATGGGCAATATATACAAAGATTGTTCTTAAACATTTACAAATACAATCTTTTCTATTCTGCACACCCTTTCCAGAAATAGAACACATTAAAAATATTCATCACCTTTAAATTCATCACCAGAGTAGAAGCATGTAATATTTTTAAGCAAATAACAAAATATTAATTGAATAATTTTGAATTTTAAACTGACTTCCTTTTTAATACTATATGATAATACCTAATTCTTGTTGTATAAAGCATATATGCAAATCATTATTATTTTACTAATTTTATTTTATAAAACATGCAGATGTGCAGTTTATCAAGAGTTTTGTGCAATATCTTTTTTACTATGCATTCTTTCATTAAAAAAAATATCTGTTTATAAAGCTAAATAAATAAAGCTATATATTTATATTTGATATAAAATCAATATATTTAACATAATTTTTATGTTTTTTTATGTTCTATATTATAAATAATATTAAAAGTAATATTAAAAATAATAATATTAAAATAAAATAAATGATATATATATATATATCATTTATATATATATATATATATTTATATATATAATTATTATGTATAAGAAAAAAATACCTTCTAATTAATAAAATATAGATGTAATTCCTGAAAACATTTGTGCATGATTTTTTTCAATCAAAAATATATAGTTATTTGCATTAAATATTTCGAAAAAATATAAGCATAATTAAAAACTGTTCTATTTAGTAATTAAACATATGCAGTACAGAAGCAAACAAGCCAAATAAAAAACCATCAAACATCAAACTTCCGTGGACCCTTCACTGCAAGATGAATAGGTTGCAAGCTATATCATTACATTTGCTAAAGCAATAATGCCGAAATCATCAATCTAAGCTTGTTCAAACCTTGGTCTCGGTTTCTCTGGTAGACGATTGCTTCCGAGTCGCTCCCTGAAGGGAGAGCTGCCGACTAGATTGGTCTGAAAAGCATGATGAAAAGTATGGGTAATTGTAAATGTATGAATAAGCTCATGATCATGAAGAAGTATATCTCTGGTTTGTTTAACTGTAATGTATTGTTAACATCGTATTCAGAGAGCATTATTACATCGATGAAAAGAAAAGAAGATAAATAAAACGTCTGCGTTTTGCATTACACAAAAGCTTGCTAAAAATTATGTGCGCATTCAAGGCAGATATCAAGCATGGTTGCATTCATTGTATAATACTGTGTAAGCTGTCTGAATGTTCTAACTAATTTTATTAATTATCTATTAATTAAATCTAATTATTTATTAAAATCTAATATTAATATTATTGAAAGTAATTGATGTACAATAAAGATAAAAAAAAGAACATCAAGATTTCATAGGTGGTTTTTATTGCCAAATGAGGCAAAATATATTGAAATTAATGGATTGACATGATAATGATTTCATCGACACCTGGGTCATCATATCGAGGCTACAGGATACGAGGATATACCTGGTTAGTGAGGACAATCAGGCTCGTGCTGTGCCTGCGCCTGGTCAAGTGAGAGGCGGGATCTCTCTGGGAAACACCACCTAGAGTTGAAGGGTTCTGAAACATATCATGCTAAAATACCCTCTCCTAACATTCTACTGGCCTATTTCTATCTACAATTATGTGTATCTTTCATATAATTGTGTAATCTCGCCATTGATACTTGTAGCTACAATACTAATTTAAAAATGTTATTTGAAAATAATTAGTTTATATATATAAAAATATTGACGTATTCGAAAATGTTATAGCCACTATAAGTGATTTATCGAGTGCCAAATAAGCTTGTGAAAAAATCGTGCCATTTTTTTCGAAATTTAAATTAACCCTTGTTATTATTTGTTATAATCCTAAATATCTAATACACCAGAGAAACGCACTATACTATATTACAATGGCACTGCATGAAAAATTTTGCAAAATAAATCAAAATTACGATTTTTAATATCAAATAAAATAATAAATATTTAAAATCAACGAAAGCACCGAAATAAATTGCGTTACTTAGGCATACATTAGGCATGCGACATTCAATTTTATAGTGCAAAAGAATATAATACAAAACGAACCGTTAAACTCGTATACTGTTCAAATTTAAAAAAAAAAGAAAAAAGTAACAGCAAAATATTTTCTAATCTAATTTTTTTCTATCTTTCTTTTTAATAATTTCAATTTATAAAATGTTTATTTTATATATTTTTTAATTCCTGAAAAAAATAATTTATATATTATGTTTTAATTATTTTTATACAAAAATTTTTACCCAATTTTTATTTGGATTCGGACGTCGTATTTTATTGGGCCACAGCTCAATGAATCGTAAAAATCCATCCAAGAGAGAAACTTGTTCAGAAGTAGTGAGAGGCGTGTATATGTCACATCTCGATGATCCTTCTGAAAATTTTCGAGTCGCAGAATTATGTAAAGGAAGTAAAAATACACGAAATCTCCAATATTTAAGTGCCTAGAAAATTTTAATTATTTTTAAAAAATTGAAATTAAATATAAATATATATATTTTTTTATATGGTACAAATTTTACCTCTACTAAAGCAAAGTCGGTATGACCTCTAGTACAAATATAATGGTCTAAATAATTCCAATTATAATTTTCTAATTTTTCTGTTGTAAAAGATATCCATGATACTTCATAAGTATCATGATGTGGTGCATGAAATCGATAAAGATAATGAATATTAAATGGAGGATATGGATGTCTGTAAAAATACATATAATTAATTTTTCTTTATTTATTCATTTATAACTCAAAATTTTTACCTTGGCCGATATCTTGTTACTGTTATACAATTATCAAATAAAGATATTTTATGAAATATTCTACCAATACTTAGCAAATATTCTTCTTTAGGTTCTGATTCTGTTTGCCGTCCTCGCATTACAGAACTTATTGCAGGAACAGTAGTACTACCAGGTGTATTGCTTTGATTTTTATTATTTTGTGCTAAGATAATTAATTGAAAACCCTTAATTATAAAAAAAATAATATACACGTTAATTATATGTATGAATTGTATATATACATGCACAAATCTTATTAATATGATTAATACGATACCTGCGCTAATCTTTGCGATACAAGTTCTTTAAATACTTCGGCAGTTGTTAAAGGCTTTTTATATATAGCTCGTTGTTGAGCAAAATCTGTATTAACATCATCAGGTAGAAGATTATAATCTGATACCACATAGTCATTTTGTAAGCTTCTTTTGTCAGGAAAATAATCTGTAGTAATAGGCAAACATGCAGGAATTGTCAATGATTTCCAATCAACACCTAAAAAATAACACATAAAATATATGTGAGAAATGCAATTTGCATTTTAAATTATTTGAAATAAATAAAAATGATTTATTTAATATATAATGTTAATTTCATAACTACATAAGTACTAAATCTAAGTATTTGTTACGCAGTTAATACAAAAATACATAGATGTAGTATACAGAAGAAATTTTTTTCACAAAATTACTATATAATGCAAGTATGTATTATGTAAATACTACTATACGTATCAAAGATAGTAATATATTAGTGTTACGATATGTATTACCAGTATATGAAATCCAAGATGATCATGACTAAATACTAAAGCATGCAATGCAAAATATATTACTTAATGTAGTTACATGAATGTTCAAAATAATTTGTTATAAAATTTCCAAATTTGTGAAAATGATATGAAAAGTATACATATATCTATATATAATTGATAAATATTTTAATAAATTTATATAAAATTAAATGCTAAATATTAGTTTACCAATATTATTATATACTACTAATGATACTACTCATTATTAAGAAATTAGTAATTAAAGCAAAATGATAGAATGAAAGGATTATGGAATAGATGAGAAAATGTTTGAAGAATATTTGAACCACAAATAGTGATTTCTTAAGTGATAGAATATATGGAGAATCATTAAGAAAAAAATTAGAATTTTGAACAGTGCAAACATTTTATAAAAATAAATAAAGATAAGAGATAACGAAAAAATTATATGTAGGTGTATAAATGATTCTAATAATAACAAAATAGATTATTGTTTGTAGAAATTTTTTGGAAATTAGAATTACACTTTTTTTGCAATAGAAAACATACATGCATAGAAGAATTATAAAAACTAGAGCTATGAAGAACAAAAGTTGCTACAAATTTAATTTCCTAAAAATAAATGTGTACCATAACCGAATCAACCCCCAATAACGTATAGCGCTAACCTATGATTGCTGTTTAATGTGACATCATAGTTGTACATCACACACGCGTCAATGCGTCCAGCGTTGCATCCCAATAAGACGTACCATAGCATGGAAATAAATGTAATAATATTATTCATATAAATGATCGATGAATTTCAAAAATAAATATGAACATGTCCAAGAATGAAAATACTTCTTATGCATGATGATTGTGTGATTGTGTATCAAATTTTCATTCATTTCTACTTGGAAAACAATATTTTTTTTTTTAAATACATATGTTTAACTATTTTCATTCTTTAAGGAATTATGTTTTAAAATATTTCTATTAATCCTTCTTGGTATGAGTATGAATGAAATGTTTTATCAATATATGCATCAGTTGAATAATTTACATTACACCTACATTTTATTTATGTCTTTATTGTTTCTAAAGCTGCCAAGAAGCATTATATTTCTGCAATTAATTGTCCAATATTTTCTGCTATAAAAATTAGTTGTTTGTTTAATAGAAAATTCTTTCAAAATTCTTTCTTCAAACTGTAAACTCATTTTATAATATTTCGTGAATAATAACATGGCTAATATTGTTATTTGGATATGTTATAAAATATTATTTGCCAGTAGTTATATAGTATATTTGTGTTGTAAATTACTTTATTAAAATATATGCAAACCTGTTGTAAGTGCTGGTGTCCATTCCTGTTCACCAGTAGCACCCCATAATAATGTTAAAGATTTATTTCCTGTAGAAGATATTGGATTCCCACTTTTATCAGCATTTGATAATGAAAGATTTAATCTTTGTGGTTTATTTTTTGTATCTATGAAAAACATAGATGCAATTCTATATTATGATAATGCAGAACTTATGTATTTTATATAAAATACTAACGATCTTGAATATTATTTGAATTAGAGATGTCATTATGTTCCATAGAGGAACCACTTATAGTAGAAGTAATATCAGATTGTGATTCTGAACACATTTGTGTTGGTACAGCTTGATAATGATGTTGCTGTATAAGCACACCTGTTGGTCCTAAAATGTTTAAATTAAATTTAAATAATTATGGAATACATGGAATTTTCTATCATTATATCTTTATTAATAATTACCTTTAGGAAAAATATGCGTCCATCTCCGTCTGTTACTAGTTAATTTAATTGTAACATGAGATGGATCAAATGGATTTATAAGTGCTCTACTTGGTCTAATATTTGTAGGTTGAGATATTGTATTTGTGGGACTTCCAGCACTACCAACAACTGGCCTAAATGGTGGTGATATTTCTGAATCGGTTAAATCGCTTTTTACTGATATTCTTGATTCTGTAACATATAATTATTAAATATTTTTTAATATTTTATTGGTACATGTTATAAATAATGATAAGGATAATATGAAAATAATTAAAATAAATACCATTAACTTCTCCATTAGATTCATTATTAGTTATATCATCTATTCTGGAAGGTATTAAAATTGCTGCACTTCTTGTAGCAGCTGGAGGTGAGTGAGATTCAGGTGGTGGATGATGTATATCAGGATCTGACATTTTTCTTTTTAAAAGTTTTAATATATGTGCATTATTATGTGTTTCCATACTTGTAACACTTGTTTTTTTAGTTCTTGTTGTAACCCGTTGCAAACTACTTATATAAAATTTTAAATTAGAATTTTTAATTTCAAAATTTTAATTAAATTTTAATAATTGCATTCAAATTTTAATATTAATTTAATTAAATTTACCTTGATGTGTGAACTGAAGGTAACTGAAAAACTTGTGCATCATATGCATCATAATCAAATAAAGTATTATGTAAACATTCTCTTGGATCTTCTTGCAAAAGTTTATTTTTACATTGCAATTTTCCGTTTTCCATTGATTGTTTTGATATCCTTTGAGGAAGTTTTATACGAGGTATAAATGTTGAATAGGGAATTTTTTTATTTGTTGAATAAAAACTGAGATTAATCCAATGTGGCATACTATAATCATCAGGTGCATTAATAGATGTATCTTTATTATGAAACTAAAATCATATCAAAATTTTAATATTTTCATATTATTAACATTACTACTTAATATTTTTTTCTATATAATACCTTTAACAGAGGTACTGCATGTAATGGTTGTTCACCAACACATACCAAATCACTACCAACTCCATTATCAATAATTCTTTGTTTTGTAACATTTGTTAATTCTCTATCAACTTCAAAAACACCTACACCAGGTGTAATCACTACAGATAATTGACCAGTTCTATCAAAACTACGATCCAGATAATGTTTCTCAAATACTATAAATAAATTAAGTTGAAAAATATATCTCATAATAAATTTTATCACATATTTTTAATATTATATTACCATTTAAAGACATATTTAAAACTTCTAAAAAATTGCCTTGGGCAGCTGTTGAATTAACTGCTTTTGGTATAGAAACACCTGGTTTTTGATGATATTCTAATACAATTTTTTGATAGTCTGTGAATAGTTTACGTAATTGTACCAATACATTACTCCAATCTTCAAATCTTTCATTTTGAACTACCACTCTATAGAAATCTTCATAAAATCTTCCCCTATAATCATGTTGCAAACACTCACGCATATGATTTGGAAATTCTTCTGGACTGTTAGCATTATAAAATGTTCTTGAAAATAGAACTATTGTTACTTCATGATTACTGCCATTCTTTTTCCATTTTTGAAATAAATCAGCTAAAAATCCATTAACAGCTTTTTCAAAATATAAATCACCATGAATATCAAAATCCCACATTTCTGAACTCATTTGAATAAAAAGATATACCATGCTTGTTGAAGAACGAAATACAACCTAAAAAACAAATTTTTAAAAAACAATTTTATATATATTTTATTTCATTATATTTAAATTTGAACCTTAGTATCATTATTTATAACACCACAAGCAACTCTGTCACCTTGAGACCACATTTCATACACTTGGCATCTTATACTGCCTCCACAGAATTCAATTTTTTTGTTCATATATACACAAGTATTTACCTGATAAAAATTTATATAAAATAGAAATAAAAAATAAATATTTAATTATATATACAAATATAAATAATCTATTCTACCAAGCTATTTTTTAGTCTCCACATTTCACTCCGACCCAAATATTGATCTTTAAAAGTAAGCTCAACAGAATCCAAAGCTACATCATCTGGATTAACAACATTCATATATACATCTGTAAATGTTCTTAATTGAAACATTGTGGCTACATTATTTTCCACACTAATTGTTTCACGTCCTTGTAAATCTTCTTTAAATGATGTAACTTGAAGAAGTAAACGACTAAATTCAACTTCTGGATGATAAATTTCAACAACATCTCCAGTTTTTATATTAGGATGATCTTTTGGATTAATTATTAAATCTTCCTCACTAAAGGTTTTTTGATGTACTATCAGCTTATATAGCTTCATTTTTAACCCATTACTTTTTTAATGATAAATTTAATTGTAATATATAGAGAATTAAATTCTATAATATTGTGTAATATTTATATATATATATATATTTCTGTACATATTAATTAATTAAAAAAATTTACATATAAAATAAACAAATAACTCACTATTTATTTTCAATTCAGAATAAAAAATTATTTCAAAATATTTGAAATAAATATTATTTTTAAAATATAATATTTAGATATATTGTCAACAATATATCAATAAACATTAATTAGTAATAATAAATATATCAATATTATTGTTTTACACAAATTCCAAAATTCTTTCTTCTTTTAATATTATCCTGTACTGGTAGTACTGGTATAAAATTTATTCACATTATTTTAATTCAAATCTCAAAGAATAAAAAATATTAATACTCATATACAGGGAATAAGAATTAATATCAAACTCAACATATTTTTATATTTTATTCTGTAAAGTCTTAGTAACACATTTGTTTCATACAAAAATGTTACTAGCCATAGTTTTTATTATACGATCAATATTTTTTAATTTATGCATTAATCATATATGTATTTTCATAAATTGTATATAAAAATTTAATAAAGAACATGAAATGAATTAAAAATATATATTATGGATAAAAAATATAATTGTTTTAAAAATTATATAATCAATTTTTAAATTTTACAATCAAACAAAAATTGTTATAAGTAAATCTATATTTTAATTATAAATAAATTAATTTAAAAATGTTGAAAATTGCAGACATCTCAAAATATTTTAATATTAGATAATCTTATCTAATTATTTGAAACATTGTAATAGTAAAATGTATTCTATATATCTATCAATTTTGTCCAATATATATTGTATATGACATAAGTTCAATAAATATAAATTATGATCAAATTAAATAAATAAAAAATAAAATTATATTCTATAAAAAAAATTTACAACAATTTATTTTATTTAAATTTTGTAAAATATTTCGAAATGCAGTTATGTAATTGCGATGACATTATATAGGGCTTCTATTAAATCAAAAAGTTCCTAAAAATGCGGCGTCTGCTAAAGCACTGACAGTGTTTTGTTATAAAAAAAAAACGTAATTTAATCTAATTTGTTGAAAGATTTTTATTATCGTTTCTACGAAATGGACTTATTAATAATACTTCCTGATATTTGTATGATAATTATCTATTTCCATTAAAATCATAGCTATTTATAAAGATCAATCATGTTATGGATATTGTATAACCTATGTAATGTATTTATCTAATTGTTATTAAAAATTGGAAATATATTTGATTAAATGATGAGAGATGCGTACCAAAGGCCTGCTATTGTTGCTTATGTGCATAGCAGGGAGCAGCATCGTTTTTATTGCTTTCAGCAATCAACGACCTTCCATTCAAACTCTGGTTACAGAGACACACAAGCAATTACGAAACTTCCAAGTAATTATTTCTATGACAATTAATTTCTAACTTCTATTTCTTATTTATAATATATATATATATATATATATATTAGAATAATTATTAATTTTTCATTATAATTTTTACAGGAAAATTTAAAAGATGTTGAAGAAAAGCGTTTAGTAACAGATTCCAAGTATCTTGCAATGCTTGGTCTTGATGGACAAGCAAGCACAACACCTTTTAGTCTTAAATCTCAAAATGTGACTGTTGTTTCTCTTATTAGGCCTGGAAATGAACAACATATTTATGGCTTTGTGAGAAATATCAGTCATTTTTTGCCAAATAACAGTATTGTCATTTATAGTGTTGGATTAAATGATGATTCTTTGCAAAGTATTAGAACAGCTTGTAATTCTACGAAATGTAACGTGATTCATTTCGATATAAGTCTATTTCCAACTCATGTTGAGGATGATAGATTACATGTTTATAGACCTTTAGTTATTCAAGTAACTATATCTTTATAAATACTTAAATACATAATAATTAAAAATAAAAAATTATACTATTTAATTTTTTTTGTTATGTGTTACAGACAGCTTTAAATACTTTAGGAAATATATTATATATGGATTCAAATGTGCGTTTAAATTCTTCAGATATTTCAAAATATTTTTTACCAAAATCTGGAATTTTAACTTGGCCTACAAGGCATGCAATTAGTTCTTTAACGCACCCAAAGATGTATGAATATTTTCACGTGTCTGCAGAAAGTTTCTTTTTTCTTCCATTAATAAGAGCATCGCACTTAGTAATTAGAAATATCAAAGAAATTAGAGAAAAAGTAATGTTGCCATGGATTCAATGTGCACTAACAAGAGATTGTATTTGTCCCATTGGTATATATGTCAAAAATAATTTTTGTATATTAAAAACTTGTGCATTGAAACAATTGATTTTAATATGTAAATAATTTGAATTTATTATTACAGGAGCTCAATCAGCAGGATGCCGATTTAATAAGAAACCACAATACCGATATTCCGGTTGTCATGCGTACGACGCTTCTGCATTGAATATCGTTCTTGGATTGCACTTTAATTTTGACGACACATACTATGTACATCAAGAACGAGAAACGTACTTTAATAAAATAGAACCTGAAGAAATTACGGAAGAGTATGAAATGATTACAAAACAAAACAATGTAACTGAATCAAATTTAAGAAATATCATATCAAATGAACGCTAATTTCTTGAAGATCGTGATTAATTTAAAAAAAAGATAATTAAGTGATATGTCGATCAAGCACAAGTAATATAAGGATACATAATAAGTTAAGAAACAAATAAAGACTTTAGTGAACATAAACTATATTTGTGTATCATTACCTTCAAAAAATAATTCAGCTTTCGCACTTTGTTTCTAACTTCTGAATTATTTTTGAAAGTAAGTTAAAACATAAAATTAACAAATATGAAAAAAGAAAATTTTATTTATTATGTTTTCTTTTCTAAATTTTTTAATTATCATTATCATTTTTATTTGAAAGCAAATGAAATTAAATATAGATGTAATTAAATCCGTACATAATATATCGAAAAGCATCGAGTGTGATCTGTTTTTCTTGTTGGTCGATTACTAGAATAATCTACGGTATCAATCAAGACACTAACGAATCTCAATTAGTGTCATCAGGAATCGCTTAATGGAAGGTGTTCCTCTTGAGGTGGCACCTCCGTCAAACTCGAAATCGTAACGCGATACCCCACGAACATATTTTGTATTAATTTATGGTAAATTTCACGTTGAAGTATACAGTCGCTAACAGGGGATTCGTCATTGTTTGTATAAACGAAAAGTACAACATCGCGCGCGGAACATGGACGAATATGCGTACGTGAGTTCCATTGGGACTCCTAAGGATTAATCGTAAGACACCACCGGAAGCCAACGATATGTGACGAGTTGTTAAATTTCGATATACTTTTGTCTGTTGTAACCTTCATCGCATATTGCCTGATCAGGATTTAAGGTCACTTGACGATGTTTGAAAGCGACATTGACAACTGGTATGATTGGAAGAAAGATGATGATGTTGTTAATGAGATACACGCCGTAAAAAATGCCGAGACTATAAACGGTGTATGTATGATAAATTCCGATCGTTCGAAAAATTTCATGCCTAATGATGGCCAAGGAAAAACCTCTCGAAGCAACGGGATGATTCGCTGTGGTGCAATTCCTACTAGTTCCAGATCTGGTACCGAAGTTCGATTCATCAATCCGGCAATTTATGCAGAGACCTTAAATAACGAGGATGTAGAGCACGAAGTTGAAATTCAAGTGAGAGTCAATTCGAAAAACGATGGACGGCACGTACCTAATTGCGGTGATTCCGCGGAAATGAACGATATGATGTCCACGCTGTCTATTAACAATGGTTTGGCCACTTCGTTTATGAATCATGCCGGTGATCAAGGTTCAGCTCAAGAAACGTATCGTTGTTATTCCTTAAATTCACCGACCACATCCGCATCCTTACAGTCCGATATCGCTCGTTCCAAGTCTGTGACTTCATATACACCTTTAAATCGAATCGAGAGACGATGTAGGATTCCTGATGAAGCGGACGATAAGTACGAACTTCGGCAAGTCGAATCGGAAGTGCAAAGGTATTTTAATAATCTCATCAATTAAACGAATATTGATGTATTTCAATTATTTCCTTTAATTATTTTTTTCTATGGGATTTTTTAGAAGTTTCACTCGATATTTAACAATGTTGAAGAATAATATATCAAATTTTGAGACCAACAAAATATCGTTTCTCGTCATGTAGATACACATTTAATGGACATAGGATCGTACAAGTTTCTACCTCATCGGTATCCAGTATCAGAATATCGGAGAAAAAATCGAACGAATCGTATCTTGCCAAGAAAATCACTTACAGCGAGTGGATACGAAGAAAGCAAGAAATGGCGCGGCGAAAAAAGGAGGAGGAAGAACAGGCTCAGAGACAGAAGCAAATAGAGGCGGAAAAACTGGCTCGTGAAAAGGAAGAAAGAGAATTCCGAGAGAAAGAAAATTTCTTAAAATGGTCCGAGAAGAAGAAAAAAGAAGAGGAGAAGAAGAAAGCTGTTATTGAGAAAGAATTGACGTTACAAAAACAACTAAAAGAGGTTGAGGATAAAGCTGCTGTTGTGAAAACTCTATATCTTCGTCAATGGGCACGTAAAAAGAAGGAAGAAGAAAAAGGTAAAGAGATATTTTTCAATTAATTTCCATTATTTTATCGATAATTCCTCTTATCTCTGATATTCATCTGTAGCACGTCAAAAGAAAGAGGAAATGAAACGAAAACAACTCGAAGAAGAGAGGAAAAAGAGATTAGAGGAGAGCACGAAAGCTTATGAAAATTGGCGCAAGATGGCGAAGAATAAACCGAAGCCTGCCACGCAAGGACTTTTACGTTAGTTGTTTTATTTTCTTATATAAAAAAGTATAATTTAACGATAAAAATTTACTTGAGATTATAAATTTCCACTTACTATTAGCTCATCAAAAAGCTAAACCAGCATACGTGAATCCTACGCCATGGCAGCGAATCATCGACGACACCGAGGACGTCGAGGAAGATGCATTCAATGTTGGTAGAAAAACACAGAGTCAGCTGAAGATTAGCAGTAAGAGAAATGCAACATCTTTTCAGTGATTAAAATCGTCGTATAATTGGAACTTGGGAAATTTGTATGATTTGAAGAATGATCACATGGTTAAATACTTCTATTGCCTCGAAGTAAAATAGAATTATAGAGAAGTAATGGACGAAACAAAGAATATCATTATACTTACTTTGGATCGCAGATTCGTGTACGTTCGTAGGATATCCTTGTGCAGGATATACCGTACAATTGGAATGATATTATACGCGTTACGGCATAGTAGATATTCTGATAAAAAATAATTATATTTTCTAGCAAATATTCTTTGATACATACACATTTTCACGTTCGTCTTCTATGATGAATATTAACAATGAATATTAACATATATATCTGAAGCTAATCGCGAACAGCGTTCTTCGACCAATATTTAGATGCATTAAGACAACGAAGGAGAAAATTATCTCCTTTGCCTTCATTTTTATCTACTCGAAGATTTGTAGATAGTAAAAAAAATAAAAAAAAAAGAAAAAAAGAAAAAATATGGAAGCAAAATAAGGAGAATTTGCGTGATGATAATTAAAAGAAATGTATACGGAAAAACTGAATATTTTTATTATTTGTATTATTAATACTGTAATGTATATTACATGACCTAGATTCATTATATAATCATAATTTTTACACGGGATCAGAAGAGTGCTTCTATTCATTCGTTACATTAGACATACCTTGAGAAAAAGGATATCAAAGATTGATCAAATAGGATAATTCCAGTACACAAGAGGACGTAGAAAGTGGCACATGTAATTATTTTATCTCCTGCTGAATGTACACTTTATTCTTTCTCAATGTATGTCATATTTCATACACATAAATATTTAAAGGTGTAAATGAACAATTACACGGTATTAGCATCGTCCAATGGATCTATTTTGATCATACTTTCTTCTTCTTCTTGAAGTCTCTCTATATCTGATTTGTTCATGAAATAATAGGAAGGTTGCCGTGATTTCTAAAATTTCAAAATATTATAGATTATTATTATTGAATTGTTAGCTACTTGTTAGAATATAAAAATTTCTTACTAAATCCTTCACTATACGTTTTGCACCCGCTTTGATAAGAATATTACTTAATTCTTCAACAGTTAGTAAACCCATTGCATAATGTAAAGCTGTTCTTTCCAACTGAAATGGAATGTTAAAAATCTTATATCTTTTTTTTTTTCTTTTTTTTTTTTTACAGCTGAATCGAAAATAAATGATTTATTAAATTAATTTTTACATTGTCACCGATACGTAAAGTTTCTGGATACGTTCTCGCAATGTATTGGACCAGTTCTATATTTTCACGAAGTACTGCAATGTGAAGGGCGCATCTACTCATTGAATTCTTTCCCATCGCCAATAGTTTTCCTCCACCGTTATTTTTATTTAATAATTCCTTCACTTTTGATACATTGCCTGTTCTGATCTCATGATGTACTTCTTCACGTTGTGTCTATGAAAAAATAATATTTCTTAGATATATTAATCTTCGATATTTCTTAAAAATATAATAAACTTTTTTATTTTACCACATAATTTGGAATAGATTGTAAAAATTGTACGGTTGCTTCTCGTCCTCGTTCCTCAGCAATGTTTACAATATTCACACCTTCATCTTCTACATCCAAAATATGATCGTATCCTTCTAATAATAATTCTACTAATTTTTCTGTTTCACCTATACAAATATTACAAGTTAAAATAACATTTGTCACATAATCCTTTTGATTCGAATTTCTTTTCTTTTTTTTTTTTTTTTTATGATTTATATTAAAAAGATTTTTTTGAATTTATTTATATAGTATTTTCTATAAAATTAAATCTTGCTAACCTCTTGCTGCTAAATAAGCCACGTAACGATCAATTTCGTCGATATTTTCTCTAATATTTGCCAATTCAGCTACATCTCTAGCCGTCCTGTACAATTCGTCTCTGAAACCAACGTTAACTTGACTTTCTTGAAGTAGGTGGAACAAGCCGTCCTTTGGATAAGATCTAATGGCAGCGAAATGAATAACGCTTTGTCCATGCTCATCCTGAATTCATTTCATTAATTATATATCGATATCTTTAATATTATATACTAGTTACTAATTAAAATCATACTCTATTAGGATTGCTAAAAGCTGATTCTGGTACATCGGAACTCGGACTTTGCGGATAACCAGCATCCTCATCTCCATTCTCATTTTCGATATTCTCTATGTTTTCTTCGGGACGATCAGGAATGATCAATACATTAGGTTCCTAAAGATATATACGCCTATTCATATTTATTGTTTCAAAATTATATTTAAAATTTTGTTTACCTGTTCCTGCGGGCTGCTATCGCTTTTATTGGCAAAATTGTACAAATAAGTAGCCAGATAAGTAACTGGATCTTTTGGACGATTATTGGCAACTTCTGTCAGACCTCTGATCAATGGATCACCGAGTGCTATAGAAATTTTATATTTTTAATTCACTTTTACACAAATTAATGAAATTTTTGTTCAATCGTTCATTTAAAATCGTCTTACACGATGCTAAGTAGCGACCCTCTTCTTCTCTAAATATCGATATGTCCACTTTGTCGTCTGAAATACGAATTTTTATTATTATCAAATGAATGCATAAAATACTTAGAAATTACCTATTGCACTTATTTTATATAACGATTATTTCTACTGTTTCCACTTATATCGATACAAGTGCAATACGTTTATGACATCTTAATTATTCTTCGTTTTTCAAAAACGATAAAAATGCAAATCTTCCACAAACAAAAAGTGCGAATCACGAACACAAGGTGCATCACTCCACTCTGAAATTCGTGTTGCACGAATATAAATCGCAAACAAATTTTACAGCGTATAAATATAAAATTGAAATATGTAAAAGCACGTTTACACAAAATTGCGAGAATTTAACAATAAAAAAGAAAAAAAAAAATCACATTTGATAAAAGTGAGAGGTGAGGGATTTCGTTTATGTATAATCATTTACGTACAATAGCCATTATACAAAATATACAATTTATCTTAAAATTGAGTACATCGAGTTGGAAAGACATGTGCTACGCCATTTCTGTTTCGTGTGAACATCGAACTCGTGCATGACACATAAAGAAGCTATTAAATTCCCGCCATTTTCTATTTTTATTCTTCCAATCTTCTAGAACATTTTATATTATAACGAATATCTCTGTAAATTTCCGTTTCAGGTACATATACACATTTTCACGTAAGCATGGTGTCGTGCGACAACATGTCAAAGCGTACTGTTCATGTACCAATAACTGTTCGTTCTACTAACCTAATGAATAATCCAGTTGTTCCTCTAGTAGTTAATCATTTAAGTATCATATCATATTCGTCGCACGAGAAATAGAATAACGTTCACACACATCTTTCCAACGTCTCTCTTGTCTCTTTCATTCTCAACATACGCTAACATATCTCCCCTATATATATATTGTCTCAGTCTGATGGGAGATAATAAGACAGTCAAACGTGTTGGCTCGTGAATTATCACAGAAGGATTCCATGTATAAGCGTATTGTTCCGTTATTTTATGAAAAGAAAAAGAAAAGAAGAAGGAGAAGAAGGAGAAGAAGATACAAATATATAATAATTATAAAGAGTCGATGAAAAATAAAGACTTTCGTTTATCGATTTTCCTCCTCCCTCTCTTCACGCTCAATTCTGAAAACGCTGTTTGACGCTGTTTCGTTTACGAAAAAGTCCCGCGATCAAGGTGGCAATTTTCAACGAATTGTTTATCGACAATTCCTTCTCCAACGCTAGAACATTGAGCACGGCCCTCGAGAAATCTTGAAGGGTCTGCAATTCGGTGATGCTCAACGACTGTTGATTACCGATTCGTACCGTGTCCCTTTTCGCCGTCTCCCGTATACTTAGCCCTCGAACGACGCACAGATGCTTCAAATGATCAAATTCCTTCGACAATTCGGGGAATTTGATTATCACGTTAAATCTAAGAGTATTGCCAATCGCGTAGGGACGTGCACTTAGGAAGCCCAGCTTCTTGTCCCTCTTGAATTTCAATTTCGAATCGAACACCATCATCAATTTCGCCATTCTCGCGTAGGCATGGCCGATCAAGCCAGGCCTTGTGTCACTTGTCCGAGAAACGATCCTCAGATGATCCTGAACATTAACCCAAATAGCCAGGTCGCCGGCAGAAGCCACGTACACACCTCGACCGTAAGGCCAATGCTTCCCGTGAAGACGTTTATCGTCGTGGAGCTCGAAGTCGGTGATCGGCAAAAGTAGACCAGCTGCAGCCAGCTGGGCTCTAATAGGACTCGGCTGATCGAGGATCTCATTGAGGGTGAAGTAAGATCCGGCCTCGTCCTCGCTGCTACCCTCGGCTATCATCGTCGAGATCTCTTGGCTCATCAGTCGGTTGGTGATCTCTTGTTCCACCTCCTCGAGCTGGTTCACCGTCAGCGTCAACGGAAGAGTATAATTCTCCAGATTTCTACAACACTCTATCACACCGGCTTGAACGTATTTGGCCGGAGGATCGAGATCGTACGCATTGATCGAGGACACGGTCACTTCGTCCAGTGTATCGTGACTCTCCTCGCCCTCTTCGTCCTCGTAGAAGAATCTCGGCAGAGGGTGGTCGGGCAGATCACCGCTGGCTGTCACGCAATGCACGTCTCTGATTAAAGGGTCGAAGAACTCGGCGAACACGATGTAACTCTCGTAATCCGGCGCGACCACGGACAACGACTCGTCCTCGTCCGTGGTGTTGCTGATCACGGAATAAGCGCTGCTCGCGTTGCTGTTGTAATTCGAGTTATCGTATTTCTTAAAAGCAGGCCAGATCACATCAAAGAGATTGTGGTCCATGCGTGTCACACGGTGCTTGATACGATCGAATGTAGGCCGTTTCAGGCAACGACCGATCAATGTACCGGAGTTCCCAGCCGATTTTGGTGTCGTACCGTGTCTCGCGCCGATCAGAAGACGGAAACATCTCTCCAGGGTAGCTAGGGTCTCCGGTTCGTTTAAGTCTCGCCGCGAGGAATAGACGTCGCCTCCAGAAACTTCGTTTTTCGGCCATTGAGAGCGAGGGCGTCCGGATGGAAACAGCCGCGGAGATAAATCAATGAGGAAATTTTTTAACAGGATGGATCGTTAACAGCAATGGTTTTATGTCAATTAATTTGATTTAGTTGATTTTAGAGGATCTTGGAAAATTTTAGAACCTTTTGGATTTAGCATTTAGTTTCTTATTAAATTGTGATTGCTTGTAGGACAAATAATTTCAATTATTATATATTATATAAATTTGTGATTATTAATTATTCGTGATTGATTTGAGACGATGGTAACACGTATGAGAAAGCAAGGTGATTGAAATATAACTAAATAAATCAGTGATCGTACTATTGGATAATGAGACGTTTGTAGTTTAGATTTTCTATACTCAGAAGAAAGTACGTATAGTGCCTTAAACTATCGTAGTACAGATTCATTAGGAGTGATCGATGGTGCTCGTAAGTGTCTCGTTCGAATGAAATACCTTTATCCGTCAATATCTCGTCGGCCAACTTCTCATTAGCTCCGAAATCGCGGAGGAGTGATTTGTGAGAGAATTCGGACTGGTCTTGTTTGTAATAATCCGCTTTTTGTCCGAACTATGCGAACAATAATGATAAAGAGAAAAATATATCGACATCAACGAAACGAATGAGAGAGTATTATATCATAGAGAATATAATTTTTCGTAAATCATGTCGATTTCTATTCGAAACAATGGATCATCATTATTAAGATCGCACTCACGTTGTCTTGAACTAAAGGATTGGCACCCAAGTGAAGTAGAAGGTTATAATAATGGCCGTTGTCCGCTAGAGTAGCTGCATAGTGCAAAGGTGTTCGGCCATCGAGATCGATTGCATGAGCAGTTTCTGGAAACCTGCCTGCTAGATATCTAATGAAAACATAAAAGATTAAACAAGTCGAATAAAGAAATCGATAATCCACGATTGAACGAAGACAATTCATTTTAGTCTTGCACTTCTGTGAAACGTTACGATACAATTTTTCAATATAATTTCATTATCGTTTCATTGTCTCTCTTGTTATGAAAAATTATTCCAATCAAGTTGTTCTATTTCATAAATGTTAACTGATTGATAAGAAAAATTGAAAATACATGTAACGAAAATATGGCATTTATATTGATGTATTTAACGTAGATGTATTTATTTTTAATTTACCTAATAATAGTAGTGTTTCCAAATATCACTGCAACATGAAGAGGCGTTGCCCCACGTGGCGATGATTCATCTCTCGCAACTGCAAATTTGCGACGATCTAAAGCGCTTTGTAGATCTCTCAAGTTCCCTTCTCGCGCTGCCATATGCACAGCATGAATTTTCCCCTATAACGATTGATAGACGATATCACTTGTTATTTGAGACAAAAAGTCGATTATTTACTTCATTAATCTTCGATAAATTTATCTAATGCAAAATTTATTACATCAACCATACAGAAACCACAACAAGTCATAAACAGTCTACATCCACAAGCTATCTCATGGATGGACAAGTTAAAAAACCGGTTTGTATCGAATCATTCTTGCTTCTAAGATATATATGTTTATAGAAACGAAACGAGGCGAGCAATATTTTTTTTATATTACCATGTACGAAGGGACACGATCGATGAACGTCTGCAGCTCGGTATTCCCTGAATGCCTACCAACCAATCTTCTACCTTCGCCATTGAGCACCAGCGCGGCTAATTGCTCCATGTTGCCGGTCTCCAGCAGCTTCTCGATTTCCGGATCGGCCGTCATCGTGCCCTCGTTCAAGTCTGCTTCCGGAAGCTCCTCGTGTTCGCCGACGATCACCTGCTGATCATTTCCAAGTGCAAAACCATGCGCACGAACGTCATAACCCGACGATCGATACAGGAAAATATTAATCTCACGTGACAATCTAAATACGGTAAATCGATAATTCTCGCCTACTTTGCGTTTCGTCGTGCGTGTGCACGCTTTAGTGTGAAATGCGATCGAAACTAGTTGTTTCTTTGGCATTCACATTGTGCTTTTTCACACAGGTTTATTTTGGAATAGCATTAATGTGGAGCAATAAAATTGTTTCGATTCGTTTTTTGATTTGTTACGTGAATCATATTAATTATTTTAAAGATAGGTTTTGATTTCTTATATTTCATAGAATGGAAATTTTAATGTGGTTTGTATTTGTAGAATGGAAAAGTAATATATAAAAAAAGTGATGTTAGATAGGATAGAAAAATAAAATTCTATTGGGAGTACTTTTACATTTAAATGATAAGATAGTATCTCGTACAACAGTGAATAATGGCGTGACAACAATTTCATTGAAATAAAAAAGATATTTTTTTTTTTAAGTAGAAAGAATATTTTATAAAATATATATTTTATGAATATATATTTCATAAATTTGTTAAAAAGATTCGATATTTAAAAAAATGGAAAACAATTTGTATATCTTTTACTATGTCAAATAAAATTAAATAAAAAAACAAAAAAATAATATTATGGGTCTGTGCATAAGTTATAAGAGAAGTTCCTTGTTCAGTCATTTATTTATTATTATATATATTTGTGCGTGACAAAGAACATACCGTATAATAATCTCCATATCGATCATTTCTTATTTTCAATATACATGATATACTCTAATTATATCCTCTCATCTACAATCGCAAATGTAAATTCCTCGTTATACCTACAAGCTGATCGACTTAAACAACATGAACAAACAATCAAAAGAGTCAATTATATTTTTTTCATCTTTAATAATCTTTCACTTATATAATTAACTATTTGAAGTTGAAGTTCGTTTAAATTATAATATTACTTATTTCATATCTTACTTCTCGCTCAACGATACAAGATTGATGATGTAATTTTGCTTTGTGCTAAGAAATTCGTAAAAATTCGACTCGTCTAGTGTTATGATGACTATTTATGATGACTGTACCTGGTCTTCCTCGTTTCCGGGATCATCGACACCAGAATCACCAGTACTGGGCTCTTTTCTTTCTTCTTGCTCCGTCTTATTCTCCTCCTCCTGTTCGTCCCCCTCTTCCTCTTTCTGCGATTCCTCTGCTTCCTCTTTATCCTCTTCCGCTTTATCCTCTTCGGCTTTATCCTCACCTTCCGGTTCCTCCGCTCTCTCCTCCTCATCCTCGTTCTCCGGATTCTTTGGATTCTCCTCCATTTCTTGCATCTCTGCACCTGTCACCACGTCGTCATCCGACGACTTCTCTTCCGTTTCTTCGACCTTTGCTTCCTGTTCCTCGTTATCCTCTTCCGCGGTTTCCGGCTCTGGATTCTCCGCCACCTCTGCCTCTTCCGTTTCTTCCATCTTCTCTGCGTTTTCCACATCTTCCCCGTTTTCCGCATCTTCCGCATCATTTTCTTCGTTTTTGGTATCCTCCGTATTTTCAGCAGATTCCGCGTTTTCCTCGTTCTTTGCATCCTCCGCGTTTTCTTCTTCGTCTTTTTGATCTTCCTCGACGTTTTTTATCTGCTCAATAAAATGATCGAAACATCTGATTCTTTGAAAATTCTTTGTTCAATCTTTGTTCAATCTGATCAATGTTTTCTGTTTTTTTTTTTTTTAGAAAATTAATTTAAGAAATTTTCGAGTAAAATAAATTTCGCCATTGAAAGAAATTATTAACAATTATATTAAAATCACCTGTTCCATGGATCTGCTGAGATTTTTCGGTGCTGATTCCGCGCTGCCAAATGCACTATCGATATCCGCGCTGTTAACCTTCTTCATTCCTCTAAGTATAAATTCCTCCGCGTCCAAAATCCTCCAGTCCCAATGTTTAGGATACGACGTCCCTGCAACTCGAGGCGCTTCCGGTATCACGTTTAACAGTGATTGGTCTATGTCCGATGGTCGATTTTTGTAAAATGCTGGCGCCTTTAATCTCTGGTTACAAAAATTTCATCAATAAATTTCGTAATTTCGTAATAAAAATTAAACGTTTAATCATATTTTTATAAATTATCGAAAAATTCACGCATGGTGTACTCACGTTATCTAGTTTACTTTCATCAGCTCCGTATTCGACTAACAAATTATACAAAGTTCCATCATCCTTGGCTGCAGCCGCGTAATGCAATGGAGTCTTTCCATCATTCTCCTGCGCTTCCACAACGGAAGGGCATTTCGCGAGGATATTTCTTGCGATTTCCGTGTACCCCAAGCCACAAGCCTGTTGATTATCATATCAAACATTTATCGTAACATTTAAAAGAGAAAGAATTAATAAATTTAAAATAATAAAATTGTTACGTTCGTACCTTATGCAAGACGTTCAAACCGTTGCCATCTTTGCCGTAAAGAACGATTGGGGACGTGGCCTCTATTTTATTTTCGAGCTCCTCTAAATCGTTATTTATTACGAATGTGTGAATATCTTTCACGGTCCCCTGTAACACAGATATTTTATATTAATGAGAAATATTTTTAAAAATGGATAAAGAATCGATAAAGAAGAAAGATTGGACAAACCATAATGAACGGTACAGCTTCTAAAAATCTCTTCACTCGAGTGTTGTTGCTGGTCTCCATACGTAATTTGTTCCCATGACCCTCCCACAAAACCTGCTGCAGTTTTCCTATGTCTCGATTGTGAATCCATATTCTTATGTTCGAAGGTTTGAAGTCTAAGCCTAAGGAATAATGTTTGGAGTAATATTTTGCTCGAAAATATAATAAAGTGATTTTAAAAATTGATTTGATCGAAAAATTTTTCATTTAAATTAATTACCTCTTTCGAAAGAAAATCGATAATAAAAATATTTCATGTCTTTTTAATATAAATTTACAATTTATAACGGTAATCAGATGACACATTCTGTGAATTTTATATTTTTATTATTTATTGTATTGTTTAATTCATTAAAGAATAATGTTTGATCGGTAATCTAATTCAACATGTTTCATGTATAAAAATTTCATTGAAAATAGTGTGCATGAGTGGCATTTTCAAATAAACTGGAATATTAAATTTCGAAAACAAAAGGTGACTTAAAAATGTCACTTAAAAATAAGTATGAAAGGAAAATAAGTACCAAAGTATGAGTTTTAATGATATGACCTTTTCCTATTTGAGATATGACTTCATTAAACATTTATAAGTGACAAGATTTGTAAAGTGTACATCGCGTGTTGAGGAAACGTGATAAATATTTTAGATACTCGGGGATTTCTTTTAGCAGCAAACATCGATTTCATGTTCAACATTGTTTCCTTATTGAAACTTGGAATCAAAAACTTATGAGATTTGTAACTTTTCTCTCTTAATATCAATTATCAATCGATAATTTATTATACATATCTCTTTGTTTCTTCTCTTGATCAGAATTAATAAAAAAAATTGAAATTGTAAAATGTGTTGCAATTAAATAGATATCTTTACGACATACAATATTATCAATGAATCATTTATTTTTTTGCGTAACTTTAACTTTAATAACGACGCTGGGGAAATTAAACGAGATATCTTGTGTTGACATTTTTAACGAAAAATTACGTCAATAATCGCGCAATGTCTTTTTTACGTGTTAAAAGCACTTAATCGAGTCATATGGTTAATTATCGAGTGCTCAATTGTTTCTGAGAAAGAAAAAAAAAAATAAAACAAAACAGAAAGAAAAAATTAATAATAAAATTTCATGAAAATACATTTCGTAAAATTAATCGTAAAATAGGATAGAAGATAAAAATTATTTAAACAATATTATAAGAAATTGTAAATAATCAATTTAATTTAGAGGGAAAAATTTTAAATGTAAATAATTCGATTTAATTAAAATTACACACGCGCATGCTTTGTCTTTTAATCGACTTAGATTGCGTGTTCTATCGGTGAATTAATAAATTTTTGATAAGTTAACCGAGTGCACGGACCTCGTCACTCACTGACACGTTTGCAATATTCCCTGTTTCCTTAATAAATAGATCAATCAATGTTGGCAGAAATGTCAGTACACGTTGTACACTCACTGTAAAGTTGAATTCATACGAGTTATCACGTAGAATAAATTATTCGTTTGTAATAGGTGAACGTCTATCTACCATGATCTATCGATTTAATTATAATCTTATATCGTTAGCCTTAATAATACAACGAGTTGGGTTATTCACGATTCCGTGCGACAAGTTCAATGAAGTTATTTCGTCGCAAGTATTGAATTATTCGAAAATTAGAAAATTTTTATAAAATTGATTGCTTTTTTTTTACCAAGAAAATTCAATTTCAACTTTGTCCAATCATTTATCGCATTTTCCTCGAACAATTTACCATTCAAAATCTAATGGAGGAATAAAAATTTTTCAGGAAATACCTCGCTTGTCGATTCTCAAAGGAAATATATTTACAACACGCGATAGCTTGTAATTTTCCTTTATATAACGTCTTACTACAATTTCACTCGTGAACATGGAACAAAATTATTACCGAATGAATAGAAGAAGAATAGAATTAGAAATTCGCATCGTAATAATTTTCGACGCATTTAATAAACTTTTGAAGATTTCTAAATAATTCGTTGGTCAATCGACTAACAATTATGAGAATGTCTCTCATCCTATCGATCGAAGACAGTTTTCCTTGCTTTATAAATTTAAGTTTTATTGATTCTTTCGAGTCATTACCGAGAAGAATCCATAGGGTATAAGTCAAGGAATGTATAACCATTAAAAGTGGGAAATGAACGAAGTGAAGTTTTGCAAGGTTGTCAGTGATCTATTTTAATTGTTGTTGTTCGATAAAATAAACTTATTAAAGATTTTTGTTTGTGTATGTCTTTGAAAATATTTTTTTCTTTACTTACTTTATCAGTATGAAATCAATATGAATTCTAAAAAGTATAAAAATAATCGAAATTGCTCACATTCTTTGCCAGAGTTGGTCTTCCGGCGCGACATGTTCTCCACTTCCGGTAGCTCAATTTCCGAGCTATGCTCCAAATAATAAGCCGCAGGATTACCCCTTTTGTCGATGATACTCGCGTCACAATCGTTTTCTATGAGAACATCCCAAATTGCTTCAGGATCCTTGCAACCGGCACAGTAATGCAATGCTGTTCTCCCTTCCTAGAAATCAAAATCAAGCAAAATTTCAATTTCAATTTCAATTTGAAATCTATCTATAACAAATAATATAATCTACTAATAAATCGATCAAATTAATTATTAATTTGATCATATCTTTTGCTATTTCATCTATGAAACTTAATTATTAATAAATTTCTACTCGAAGAAACTTAAAACAATGTTTATAAAAATTATAAAATTTATAATTTCCCAAACTACTATTGAAATTAAGAAAAGAATCATAGAAAGTTCTTATTCCACATTCATGTTTTTTAAACTATCGACAGCTTATAATTAAGTTGACCATATTGATCAGACGCGAGAATAGAATAAATTCAAATTTAATATTTACTTAACTTATTGTTCAATTCATAAACGTTTCGAAATAATTTTACCAAGAGACAATTGTCGATGATAAAAAACGCGACATTATAGTGGAATTAATATCCCAGGGGAACGGCGGAGTAAAACGCGAAGTCGGCGACGGTTAAACGGCGAGTAATAAAGGTTGAATCGAGATCAAAGGGGTGGATAAAAGGGGTGAGAAGCTAGCGGTTGGCATATTCAAGGCGCTGCGTGCGCCTGGACGCGAAGCCGGATGGCTGCAGGGAAGAACAGGTGGTTTACACTTTGCCATTAGCCGTGTCACGCGATCCAGAAAAGACGACCGTCGTTACGAAAAACTGACTTTTCGATTATTCACCGTTTGGATATCTCGGATGAAGCATAAACACCATCGTCACGACAAGCCTTGAGAACGATCTTGTAATAAATGGATAAGCAAATTAACTTAATTCATTCATCGAGATTCACGTTTTAACGATCGATATAGCAGTTGTAAATGTTGCGAGAATAATTAATGATGCTTATTAAAAATAATTATCTAATGTATCTCTATTTATTTTTTATTTATATAGGATATAATGTAAATATGTATAAAGTGGAAAAGATAATAATTTTATTTGAGAATTATTAATCTCTATTGAGAATAAAAATTAGGTGAAATAAATTAGATCTCTTATCTTTTTCTTTTTTATAGTATCTTATTTTACGATTTGTACACAAATGTGAATTAAAGGTGTTAAGAAGAGATAGATAATTGAGTACATAACTTTTAGATATGATAAGAGAAAAATATTACGATGCTTTGAATTTACTTGAATCATTGACAAATAAAACATCTCTTAAATTGAAAATTATTTAAAAATTGTAAAATATTAATAAAAAAAAAATATTTCAAACTGTATATGAAATTATGATAAAAAGATATTGAAAAATTTTAAAAGACGTGCAATAAAAAAAGTCGAAATCGAAAATTCATAGAAATTTATAATAAAAATTACTCTGTCTTTCTGTTGAATGGTAATAGGATAATTTTGCACAAGCCACTCAACGATATCTTGATGATCGTGATATACTGCTTTGTGCAGCAAAGGAGTACCAGCTGGATCTTTCGCAATGGCCAATTTCTTTTTAGGCTCTTCGAATATAAGTTTTTGCGCTTCTATCAAAGATCCACGTGAAACTGCATCGTGCATGTGAGAGATTTTTGTCTGTGAAAAGAAAGAAATGATATATAAAAATTAGACTTCATAAAAATTAAATTTTTATTAATTAAAAAAAAAAATATACGCCACACCAAATAATTTGGGAGTCCTTTTAGGAAGACTCTAGTTCTAAGATCTGGGGAAACTTCACCCAACAATCGTGCTCCACGTCCTTCTAGGACAACATGTTCCAATTTCTCAAATTCTCCTCGTAGTAGCCAAGACTTTAATATTGTTGCATTCATTTGTATCTGAAAATTAAGTTAATATTAATATAAATGGTTTTTAAAAATTTGCAAAAATTAAATTAAATTTTAATTATAAATTAAAGATTGAAAAACAATTAAATGTTAAAACTTGAATGGAATTTTTGTTGGAAATATTGAATTTGTTGGAATTCATGGAAATGAAAAATGAAAAAATTGTTAAATAAAATTTTAACAATTTCATAAATTAATGATTGTGCGTATGTTTGTGGAAAATAATTAAATTTTGAAACCTTTTATCTAGAAAGTAATAATCTACCCATTAATACGTGACCATGAATCAATTCTTGAAATGCTCACTATTGATTCTCCATCAAGCTTATCCAATCGAAACTCTGTGTGACCAAGCATATCGAATCACAGATTATTAGACACGATACGATTCGTTTATGAAAATTTTCCATAATGCATTAACAAGATAAAATTATCAATGAACAATTTTAAGATTCATGAATAAATTGCAAATATTATTTTTATATTTTACATATACGTATTTTTATTTAATAATATATTCTAATTTTTATATAGAATAATATTTTAAAAACTAGAAATTCTTCTTTACTTTTCTTTAAAATTCCAAAGATAAAAGTTCTTGATCCATATGATGAAAGTTATACATAAATTGAAGTTGAGAAAAATTTGTAAAATTTGTATTTTTTTTATCTTTAATAAATATAGATATGTTTATTTTATGATCACGATTAATAAGATATAATATTTAATAAAGAATAGGAAATTGTATATAAAATGCAAAAACAAAGATTTTCAATAACACAATTTTTCAAAATTACCAAAATATTATTATTTTTTCACAATATATTATATTAAAATTTATTATTTCAATATATTTTTTTCAATATTTTATATATATATCTCATCAATTAACAAACAAAAAAAAGTATTTTTAACAACATATTATCAACAAATAAAAGATGAAAATTTGTGACAAAGTTTAAAGATGTTGCAACATTTATAATTCTTTTTACATCCAATTTTTAACTATTGCTTATAAAATTATTTCCAAAAAAGAATATTACTTGCATAAAAAATAATATGTCAAAGTAACTTCGTTTCCAATTTCGTTTTTCCTGTTACAACTACTACTACTTCATTGGTCGCGTGTGAAGCCAAATGTAACACAAATATCTAATGTAACGTTATCGTTGCAAATTGCATGTTTTATTTGCATTACAAAATTTGCAAGAATACAAAAGATATGTTTCGTATATTTTGCTAAATAGTACACGTGGATGATACACATTTATGTAAATCAATTCAAAGAAACATCATTTTAATATTTTTTAAAAATAATAATTTTTGCAACATTTCATTCTTTGGACATTTCTTTAATAATAAATTCAGACAAGAACTTAGAAGATTAATCTTTCAAGCACGAGTAATGCTTTTGTATTATTCGTTATTATTTATTAAAATAAAATACAAGGAAATCTCTCGTCTCAACGTGTTAAGTTAGTCATAAAACAAAGTGAAGCCATACTGAAATGAGTAATCAAATAATTATCCTGAAAAATATATTTCAACTATTATACTTCTCAACGTATAAGAATTTTAATTTAAAAAAGAAATAAAAAAAAAAAAAAAGAATGGAATACAAAGTAAAAAGTGCACAGATCAAAACGACAATGTGTGCAAAGATATCTAGTTATAAACAAATCGTGTGCATCATGCATTATCATCTTTATTTTTGTCGATCATTCACCGATGAATCGAGGAATTACCTGATCGACTTCATAGAATTGTCATGTCGAGATTATATATTCGCGGCATGGCGCAACACAAGGAAAAGCTTCACAGTGATACGAAACAGTGAATTGAATCGCGGCGGAGTTAAAAAAGAGAACGTGCGCGATACGAGGAAGAGTCGCGAATGAAGTCGATTCAGGGCGTCGCGACGCCACCTGTGAACACGTTTCCATAGAATTCACCGGGTCATCGAGACTGGACATTCGCTAGATGTTATTGGAAAAAAATAACGAGGAAGTGGAACGCTATTTTTTTCTTTCTTTTTTTTTTTTTTTTCGTTAAGACGATAATTATGATATAGGTCGTAATTAGATTAATTAGAGAGAGTTTCAGGAAGTTTCAGAAGATCGATTTTAAATTGAAAAGATATATTTAGATGATAAATGAGAAGAAAATTTGTATAGGTTAATTTATGTAATATAAATAATGAAAATATGATCGAAAATATTAATCGTCGATTGAAAAGTTCAGAAGAAAAATTTATAAAGGATGTTTTTGAAGATCGTAATATATTTCTCTCTGTATATGAATGTTTCATCTTATTCAATCTGCCGAACATATTTCATCAATTTGATGCTCTTTATCTATTTATTTTATTATTAATTTGCTTTCCTCTTTTCCTTTTAAATCTAGTGAATCCCCTTACTTAATTCATCAAATAATTAAATAAACATGTTAATAGCTAAAGAAAACAAAATGGTGATCCTTGAATATTCGTCACTCTGGCTGATAAAACTGAACAAGGCCAACAACTTGTTCGGTGATTCCCCTTTCGGATTCCCTTTCGAATTATTTTTAAAAACCGAAGACTTGTAAATTAGTCGATAATTCTTAATCGTTTCAACTGCAAAAACCAACCAGTGTAAAATCATTATGTAAAAATTCCTTTATAAAAAGAAGAAACAAACTCTGAAAAAAGAAAATAATTCAATATCTACAAGTTGAATAATTAAACAAATTGATTCACATTTAAGCGTATATTTTACATAAATCTTGCTTTATAAATATTTATCAATCGTGTTTTTCGAATTACGATTCTCTTCAACAAAAAAAGAAACAAAAGAACGGGACACATATTTTTTATTTATCAATCTTTCAATCTATCTTGGAACAATCCAGATTTAACGATTATCGACTATAACATTCAAGATAAATTTAATGTTTTGTCCATTTCCTTGTCGTTTACCTCGTTTACTTATTTAGCTTGCAACTCGACCAGAATCGATCCTCTGGAGCAATGACATATCGATCATGTGTGTTGCATGAATCTTGTCCAGTGACCGTTGATAAGATATGCGATTATTAAATACATGTGATTGTCTTGGAAAATATTTATTTATTATTATAATTTATTATTTATTATTATAATTAGTTAATATCAAAGTTTCATTCGATTTCGAAATACTATTAAATATAATTTTTATAATTTCACATCGCACTAATAAATTAGCAATTTCACAGAAAAATAATATAAAGTAATGTGGATGAAGCGAAAAAAAGATGAAATTGCGAAAAATATACTTCAACAAATCATATATACGTCAACAAACCATTTTTATGTCCTCTGCGTTACGTCATTTTAATAAAAATCTTTGCAACCAAATTCTTGTGCAAGTGATCTTTTAACGAGAAATCTTTTCAACGGTTTATAATTTACATTTCGCTGTAATAATGAGAACTTGTTATGAAAATTTTCACGATAAAACACATACGAATGCTAAAGTGTCTGTTGGTTGACTAGCAACCAGTAGTTTTCCACGTGTCCCAGTCAAACACGGTTTTTATTATTCAAAAAGAATATAGTAGTTGTACGATGTTATAATGAAGAGGATAATGAAGTTTTGTGATCAATGTTATTCGTTTTAACTATTTAATTATATACTATATATATAACTGTTTAATTATATACTTCTTAAAGCATACTATATTCTATATTTAAAGGAAAAAAAAAAAAGAAATACTTGAAAAAAAATATATAATTTACACACAGAATCTTTTTATAGTATTTTATATTTAATACAATAATGAAATAATAAAATAAAGATGAATAAACAAATATATTTGTTAAAGATTTCGAATTTAAAATTTTTCCTTTTATGTTTATATGCATTGTTGCTGATTTTGTCACAATAATCAATTAATCTATATGAATAAATATATACTTTCATTCGATGTAAAAATAACATACATAGAAAAATAACTTAAATTATAAAAAGTTTAATGGATCTATATCTTTATTTTATTTATAATTGTAAATTTAAAGTTAATCGTATACGATGTTTCTTCTTTCGATTTTTGAAAGATTGACAAATTCCAATGGTTGACACATCAGCTTACACAGTATGTTTTATAAATCGTAGCGACAGACCCAGTTATTACATCGATGTGTTGTACTACCAATCTTGGAATATAAAGTTGTGACTTGCTATTGACAGAATGGAAAAACAGATATTAATTTTTTCCTTCACAGTGCTCCTTGTTTCATCCATTTTTGCTAGTGGTAATTATAAAACAATAAATTTTTTTAAATATAAATTTTCATTCGTGTTTTATATATTTTTCTGATAGAGTTAATTCATATTAGAAAAATGCCTGAATAAAACAGATCTCGAGTGTACTGGTCGTGTTCATTATAACGTGACACTGACAGCTTATTATCCTGTATTTGATAGTGACAACGAATCAGATTATTTGGATGTTAAGATGAAGAAATTGAGAACTCTGCAGGTTTGATTTAATTTTGCTAATAAAGAAAATAAAATTTATTCATATTATGTAAATAAGATACTTTATATGTATATTATATTATATTATATTATATTAAATAAGATATTTTATTGTTATAATTACTAAAGAAATTATTACTAAAAAGTTATTACTATACATTACTAAAGAAAATATTAATATTAAATCGTAGGATTTTCTTGATGGGCGCACAGAATTCGTAACCGTTTCAATGGATCTCGATTCAGGGATACCATATGGCACAAAATTGTGTATTCCAGAATTAAATGCAAAATTTCTGCGACAGATTCCACTTCAGGTATCATTGAGTTAAATTAAACTTAAATGCCTTTTTTTTTTCTTTTTTTCTTTTTTTGCAACATAATCACACTTTATTTCTTAGGCTAGAGACAGAAGCCATTACAACGATGTTAAAACGAATTCACCCGATTTTTCTCACATAGATATTTGCGTAAGAACAGAGGAAGATACTTACGATAATTCAGTGAATGGCATAGTGACTCTCTATGTATAAATTATTTAAAAGAATACTTCATTGATATTTTTATGATAATATACAAAATTAAAATAATTTAATTATCTTCTCTTTTAAATTTTCCATTAAAAAATATATATGTATTATATATATAAAATAAATTATATAACAATATTTTGGGATGGAATTTAATATTTAAATCGAGGACCAATGTGGCCATGTTTTTATCAATTCGTATAGACTATTGCCTGGACAAGAAGTGTGCGCTGTTTGTCGATGGCCAAGTAACGTATAATTGCTTTGTATCTTCCCAATTGTTACACCATATGAAATCAAATTCTTAGTTGCCTCTATAGCTGCTGCATTTGGTACATGGCCTGTAAATAAACAAAAATCGATTAAATTTAAAAAAAAGAAGAAATGAAATGAAATTAAATTCATATAAGAACTTTTTAAAAATTTTCTTGTAATATTTATTTCACATATTTCACTTCAAGTTCTATGCTATTTTAAGTAAATTTTATTAAAAATATATAACAGATTTAATTTTAGATTATATTTTTGATAATAATTTTGATAATAACGTATATTTAAATAATTAAGTTTTAAATATTAATTACTGTCTTTTTATATTCTACTACACAATTTACTTACCAACGAAATTACCAATTATGCAAATTCCAATGCTCTTAGAGTTATAAGGTATTGAATGTGCACCATGTTTGTCCCATCCTCTTCCTTCATAAATGTTTCCATCCTCTCCAACTAAGAATTGATAGCCTATTTCACCCCAACCCTTCTCATCTATATGGTAATTCTAAATATGATAATTAAAAAAAAATAAAAAACTTTGAGTATTTTTTATATATTCTTTAATATTCTTGAAATTTGAAATGAAAAATGAAATAGTAAAAAGACGAAACTATTACACATTCATTTTAGCAACTTAATCTTTTCAAGAGAATTCGTTATATAATAGAATTAATTTACGCAATATTGATTTATTGATCGATTTTAAAAATCTTTTTATTTATTTTCGATCTTTTGAATTTAATATTATATAACATTATAATATTAATTGCTCGTTTGAATTTTGTATTCAATAAATGGAAAAGATTTGTGAATTTACCTGAAAGCTTCTCACTCTTGCATTACAAATTGCTTGAGTGATGCAACTATCTGTCGCCGAATGATGAATTATAACAAATGGCGCAGGATTTTGTGCAAGTGCTCGTATAGTTGTCGTCGGTTTTCTGGCGCCCCATTCTGATCTCGATATTATCTTTGGACGTACTAGTTAACAAAAAAATTAAAAAATTAATAATAATATTTTATATTATATAAATTTTATAAAAAAAATTTTTTTATTAAAAAATCTTCACTTTTTCTATTCTGGAAATTATTTTGCCATGTTTTTTCTTTATCTCTTTCTCATTTTAACATTGAAAATAATTACACGTGATAATAATTAAAATAATGATTTCCTGTGAAAGATCAAATCTCGTTATTTATAATTACGGTAAATTATTTTTGATTTTAATGGATGAATAACATCGACATAATTGTCATTGTCATATTTTCATACTTTTTAAAAGTTAATTTAGTTTTTTAATCGATTATGCAAGAAATAATAATATCAAGCAAACTGATTATTAATTAAAATACTTTGTATGGATATATATCAATTAAATGATAACGATAACAGGACAATAAATAAATATTCTTGACATTACGAATCAATCAATGAAATCTTTTCTTGAATATTTTTTACAATTTGTTGTATAAACAAAAAAAAAATAGATCGATGATGACATAAATGAGAATGATTAGATGCAAATTTATTAAACTATTTTAAAAATTTACAAAAGAATCTTTAGAATTGTATTGAATACGATAGTGTCAAATAATTGAACTCTTAATGAAATAACAATGAAAAATTTTTTAAAAATTAAAAAAGATAAAGAAAAAGAAATTGATTATATCATGCATCTATTAATATATACTTATATAACAATATTTATAATCCATGCAATAGAATCATTTCATTAGAAAAAATTCGTGAAGAAAAAAGCAAGCAGCGATAGCTGATTTATAATGGTTGAATTTTATAGAATCTAGTTTAAAGCTTCGCTAATTCAAAACATTGAAATTATTATTGAAAAAAGTATCGAAATACTTGCACATTTAACTCGAAATTCGTTGCTTCAATAGTACTAAAGATTTTTAAGATTTATTACCAGGTGTCTCATGAACAGTGCAAAACAGTACTTGACAGTTTACAAATAGAAAAAACACCACTATTAACTTCGTCATCTTCGTTCACAAAGATCTGTACTGGCATTGTGTTAAATTGTACCAAGTATATAAACTGGCTGGTTAATTTAATTTCTTGATCTTTGACCGTGCTAGATAAAGTGGGATTCCTATTCTATCTTCATTGCATTTAAGATTTCATATTACATTAATTTATTTAAAAAAACTTTTAAGATTTTTAAGATTTATCTCTATCAATTACGAAATAATGTACATAAATGGTACATAGGTAAAGAACCGCAGTCAAGATTATAAAGAAAATGCGTCATTGCTAACAATAAGTGATTATGGACTTTGAAATCGATAGATTTTGAATGAAGAAATATGTCTTGAATAATCATGAATTTCAAGATCAATAATTTATTGATACGATGGTATTTTACTCGTCACAAGAATAGAAAGTTTGAATAGGAATTTAATAATCTGACTATCTATTTAAAAAATGATATAAAAAACTCATTATTAATTTATAAACTATTTTTATGTCTCATTCCTCAAGTTTGATACCATTCTTTTTTTTAGAGAACAATAAAAGATTTATGTTAGAGAATTTTTTCCAACAATATGATAAATATTAAATATAATAAATCTTTTCTTTCTGAGTATGAATAATAGATTGTTATTTTACAATTATGATACCAATATGGTATCATCAATAAATAGTGAAATAATAAAATATTTACTTACTACTTCATTTGAAATATGAATATTTTTACAAACAATATCATTTTAATGGAAAAATCTTTATTTTTTAGACTGATTCCAACGTTACAACATATTTACGATTTAATAAAAAAAAATTATATTCAATTAAGGTCAAATTCTTGACATATATATCAATTCGAATATAAAATCATTTTTTTTTTACATTTCATAAGATGAAAGTTTATGTTTACTTTTTTCTTTTTAGAGGAAACCTAATGCTTTAGTTTTCGATATAATAATCCGTTTAATTTCATTAATCTCAATAAGTTCGATTAATCTATTTTTTTATGTTCGTATCAATGTATAACGACAATTACATGAGCTTCAATTTTTATATTTCTTAGATATGCGAAAATATATCACGAAAAAACAAAAAATAAATATTTTATCGAATATAATAATCAATACTAAGTCATAATTATATATAACTTATAGAAAATTTCTTCATTTATTTATTTCGATAAATAAAATGTATTTTTCTTTGGATTTCATTTCCATATTGTTTTAAGGAAATCAGAATATAAATTACTAATGATCTTATTTCTCAAAATTCCTTTCAAATATGAAACCATATCAATCTTATAATCACATCCGCGTAATACGTAAGTATTTACACACTTGACTTAGCTTATCGAAGAAATAAAATAAACAAAAAGAAAAAGAAATAAATTGCAACTAATTTTTATATTTAATTATCGCTAATTGTATTTTTTTATCAATACGATATAAATACTGTAAATTTCCTTAACATAATAAAGACAATTTTTTAATCTTTCTATTTATTGTTAAATTGCAATTAAGTTTGTAATTTTAATTATTATAATTATTATTTATAAGTATTTCAATATATTATCTATTGTTTATTGTTTGATATTATATATTATATATAATATTATATATATATTATTTATATTATATTGTAAAATATATTAAGCTTTATCATTATTCATCGATATATTTTCATTTCTCCAACAATTGTCATTTACATGATCATGATGTTGTCGAATTTTTTGGTACTGGTCTAGCCGTCCATCGTGCTAACTTTTGAACGTATTCGTAAAATTTATCGCCTGGACAAAGAGTATTTTTAGTTTGTCGATGTCCTATAATATGGTAATCTTGACTGATTTTGCCAAGGGACACTCCGTATTTGATCAAAGCTTCTAATGTCTTCAGAGCTGCATTGTTGGGAAGTCTATCTACAAGAAAAATAGATTTAATTAGACTTATTATTAGAATAGATTAATTAGACTAAATAGATTTTATTTTCATCTGAATGATAGAATTTATAATAAGAATTTGTATAATAATGTCTTAGAATCTATAATGCACTGTTTATCGGAAAATTTAAAGGAAATTAAAAAAAAAAAATTCAAATGCTCTAAAATTAATAAAATTCAGAATTTTGATATCTTTGATATCGTAAAAATCGGATAAAAATATATCTTTCCATCGTAATTAGAATTAAATTTCGATTCAATTCAATTATATTTAATATGTCACTAATTCACTTTTCATTGTTAAATTTCACATGAAATTTTGTTAGTCAATTCACAAAATACTTACTACTGAAGTCACCGATGATGCATATTCCAATGCTCTGCGTGTTATAACCAGGTGCATGAGCTCCAACGTAATCCCAGCCTCGACCCTCGTAAGCATTTCCATCTTCGCCTATAACGAAACTATAACCAATGTCGTACCAGCCTCGTTCGTCCAAATGCAAGTTTTGGTATTCTCTCACGATCGCTGAGCACGTTTTCACATCGTAACAGTAGTGAGTTATCCCTCCGTGATGAATGACCACGTAAGGTTTTGGCGTTTTGTCCATTAACTCTCGGGCAATCGGTGGTCTAGCTTGCCATTCCTTTCTGCTCACGATATTAGGAATCTCTGATCGAGATGATATTCTTTTTAATTCTTTTTATTCTTCTAAATTTTCTGAGTAATAGTAAAGAATTGGGAAAAAAATGTGAACACAAAAAAACGAAGTGACTTGATAGTACGGTGTTTCTTAAATTATTATATTAATTAAAAAATTATTATAATTAGCTGTCAATGAATATTTTCCTAAATATATTAAATTTTATATACAATTCTCGTTATATAAATACTCTTTTCATTCAAGTTTATATGGTGATAAAAAAAGTGAAAAGTGAAATAATCGATAAATCTTTTGAATTATATATTTATATATAATTATATATATAATTATATATATAATTATATATATATATATTTATATTATATTATATATTATATATTATATTATATATACTGTGAAAATAAAAAATGAAAAGAAAAAAAAATTTTAATTAATAAAAATGAAAATCTATTTTTATATCTATTTTTTCACTTACTAAACCTATTTTTAATAATTTTAAGCTAAAATAATTTTACCAGTTTTATTTTCAAAGTTGATACAGGAAATTGATAACGTAAATATATTTTCGATCGACACGAATAAAATCAAAACGTATACTGTAAGAGTTAAAAAATTTTTTGATTCCATGATATTCGAGATCGTTTTAGCTCGTGGTCAAAGATATAATTAAATAAGAATTATGAAATGAAGCTGGTTTTTAAACAAAAAATTGAACGCGCCTGGGAAGTCCCTCGGAAACACATATTAAGGCTTTTATTAACTCCCTTCCCTTTTCATTGTACCACAAAAACAAGTTAAAATGAATTCACTGTTTTTCGATAAATATCTTTCTTTTATGGAATATTAAAAAAAGAAAGATTGATATGTAATCAATGATAAGTGAAAATAAAAAAGATAGGACGATACAATATATAAAATATTACTATGATAAGATTGATAATTGCGTTTTATTTGATATTTATTTTATTTGATAATTAAATAATTGCATAATTTTTTTCATTAATAATATAAATTTATTATCAGTAATATGAAAAGTTTAGACATTTTAGGAACTAAAAGTTAAAAATTATTAAATCAAACATTTCAATTTAATATATATATTATATATTATATAATTTTATAATATATATGTTTGATTTAGTAATTTTTATCTTAATATATACATATATATATTTACATATATATTATTATATTATTATATTATTGCAGTTATATTATAAGTAAATAAAATTGTTTATGTAATTTTAATTCAATATACTTTTATGTATGTTATTTATAATTTAAATTTCTAAATTATACTATTCATAAACATGTTTAATATTGTTAATATAATAATTTTACATTATTAAAATATAATAATCATATATATGCCTTGCTATTGACGAATAAGTTTAATTTTAGTATATCTCATTCGTATTGATTCTGATATGATTTTTGATTTCAATTATTTTATTTTTATTAGTTTATATTAGTTTCTTGCAAATAATTGTGAAAACATAACTATTAAATGCAATGTTTAAATTCGGCTTTTCAAATAACAAGAAAGATGAAGGTATTTTTGTTATATTTTTTATAAAACTAGTTCTTAGCGTAAGAAATTATTTTGAGGTTATATTTGTTATACTACATTCACGGTTAATTTTTAAAAAGAATTCTTATTTTTCTTGATTATAAAATAATATTTGAAGAAATAATTTTATAAAAAAAATTCAAATGGAATTATTTTAGAAAAAAATGACGATACGAAAAAATCGACAATTAATTGGATTCCTGCTTCAAAAGTGGAGATTTCGGAATTGCAAATCGAAAAATACTACGAATCGAATGATTATACAGAATATTTAATATTTCCAGATTATAAATTAAAGTTAATTAGATTTGAAAAGGCTTTACATGATTTGCAAAAAGAAAATTGCAGTAATATTATAGAGGCAGAGATACAACATTCTGATCTTATTCCCGCTAAATACGAAGGTAGACTACTTAACTTAAAAGAAAATCTTATATTTTTTTTTTATATTAATTATGTTTCTCAATCATCCATATCCATATTTTTAAAAAGGTGGCTTAAAAATTTGGGAATGCAGTTATGATTTAGGACAATATTTATCAGAAAACAACATAGAATTTCAAAATAAATTTGTTTTGGATTTGGGATGTGGTACTGGTATAATTGGTCTGATTGCTCTTCTTAAAAATTCGACTGTACATTTTCAAGATTATGTTCGTATTTATTATTTAATATAATCTTTTTAATTTTATTATTTAATCTTTATGTAATCTTTATGTTCGTCATAAAATGAACTGTATAGTTAAATAATTTCACAGAATATAGAAATAATTAAAACTGTAACCATTCCAAATATTATGTTAAATTTTGAAGATCGAAAAAGTATATTAAAAAAATGTCAATTTTTTTGCGGCGATTGGGAATCATTTACGAAATTGTGTAATGATGAGAACGAATTTGTGGGATATGATCTGATTTTTACAAGCGAAACAATTTATAATCCCAATAATCATAAAAAACTGTATGAAGTTTTTAAACAAAAACTCAATCAAAATGGTGTTGGGCAAGTATAGTAATTAATATATAAACTTCAGAGTTTTTATGATAATAAAATATAATATTAAACCACATAATATTCTTAGGTTTATTGCTGGTAAAAGTTATTATTTTGGTGTTGGAGGAGGAATGAGACAATTCGAAAACCTAATAATAGAAGATGGTATTTTTGATGTTAAAATAGTATGGAAAAGTAAAGAGGGTAAATATATATTTTACAATTTTTTTAAACGAGCAACAATTTTATATATATATATATTTTTAGGATTACAAAGAGAAATTTTAAAAATTAAAAGAAAATAGTATTAAGTTTTAAGTAGTTTACCTAAGTAGAATTTATTACTAAGAAAATATTGTCTTTCCTGCATTTGTAATAAATAATTTTTTCAATATTGTTTATGGAGATAGTCTTTCATAAACCCATCCATTATCTCCTTGATGAACAAGTACATTGTCGATTTTTTCGTTTGGTTTCAATCGTCTAAAATGAATTCTATCGTGTAAGCGATCGCTTTGACCTTGCCAAAACTCTATGGAATGTGGAATAATAATATATCCTCCCCTGAAAATCAAATTAATCTATTATCATTGTATATCATATCATATATTTTTCATAATTTACTTTCTATATAATAATATATAATAATTTATATTAATTACCACCAATCTGGTTTTTTAATTTTTCCTTCTGGAAATTGAGCTAACAATTCTCTTTCTTTTATTATAAGCGTATTTCTACTTGCGATTACACTACTCTGTTTACTAGCCATTGATCCTATTTGACTTGCATATGGTCGGCTTTGAAAATAATGTTCTGAATCTTCTAAAGAAGTTTTCTTTATTATACCTGCTATACGTACCTAATTTTTAATAATTATATACAATGAAAATTTAACATGATAATAATTTATAATAATTTAAATATGAATATTATTTGAAAATAATTATTTAAGAAAAAAGACTCTATTAAAGTATCTCTATTAATTAAATTAATATAAATAAATGGAAAATAAAATGCTATTGCTGATTTAATATTATTTTTAAAAAATAATTCTTATATATTATATATATATCGATTTATCGATTCTTACACTTCGATGTAACGGTTGCCAATAAAAATTCACCTCCACGTTTGGATTTTCAGCCTAAAAATCATATAGATATATATAATGTTTAGAAAATATGAATATAATACTTACTATTTCGCGAGCTTTTCTACTTTCATAATTAGTATAAAATTTGAAACCATCTTCTCCATAATCTTTGAGTAATACTGGTCGCACGGACGGAATTCCATTTCTGTAAAAATCGATATTTTTATAAAACAATAATTTTTAATTTACAATGAAAAAATTTTATTTTTTAATATATATATTTTTAATATATATTAAAATTTAATTTATTTAATATTACTTGGTAGCTGTAGCAAGAAACATGGTATTCGCTTCAAAAATTTGCGGAATTTTGCATGCTTCGTCGAACCAGGCTTTAAATTGACCAATTGGTTCTTTACTTACAAGATGATTTTCTGTAAAAGTTTCGTTTTTGTCCTTGTATGCAATTCGCATATCTATAAAAAAATATAAAAGTTGATTATTTTTTTTTTATCTGATTTTAATTAATCTTTATTTTATTAAATTAATTAATCTTTAATTTTATAAAAAATTTTTTAAAATTTATAATTGAATATAGGTTTAAGTTATATTATTAAAATTGAAATATTACTTTACCATTTTAAAATATTATAACTTTGTTATAATCACAATAAATTTTTAAAATAAATTTTTAATTTAAAAATTATGTTCTTAAATTATGTTGTAAATAACTTATAAGATTTTAATATCAATAATATTAAAATCAAATTTCATTGTATTCTTGTATATATACATACATATATTATGATGGACATTTAATAGTTTAATTATTATGTTGTGACGATAAATATTCAAGAGATATTGTTTTATTTCAAAAGTTGAAATTTTGTTGCATATTTTTATGATATTCATTTTTTTCAATTTTGTAAATTTAAAATTGATTTATTTAATACATTAAATAACTCTTTTTTTTGAAAATTTAAAAGTTAATAATGAAGAAATATTTTAAAATATTGATCTAAAATATAATAATTATTATTAAATTAAATCTATTTAATTAAATCTGTTCAGAATTAAGTAAGTCAAATCTAAAGTATGTATTTATATACAATTGTATATTTTAGATACTTTTTCAATTTTTAAAAATTAATTTTCAATTTTTAAAGTCAATTAATTGGATATATTTAATGTATAAATATATATAAATATTTGGTTTATAATTTCATATTAATAGTAATAAAAAAAACTTTTTATAAAAAAAATTATTAAAAAAATGAAGTTACCTCCAATATTAACATTATAGTTTTTATTCTGAGACGTGGAATGAGACATAATATAATAAATATGTTCGAAATTTCTCTTTTAACAATTAATCTCAAAACAATTTTCCGAATGTAGAAAAAAATTGAATGTTATTCATAAAATATGTGATATTCAGTAAAAATATAGCCGAACAATGATCGAAGTATGCAAAACAATTTATTTTATCTTATCTACATTATCTAAAATAGTATTTTATAAATAAACACATGATTGATATTCGAGGTTATATTCCTTCTTCTTTATAATTTCAAGTGTTTTTAATTCAAAATGGCGTACAATGGCGCATAATGTGAAACAGATTTCGTTCTGATTTATTAATCAATAATTTTTAATTATTTTGAATAAGTTTAACATATTTAGAACTTAAATCTTTGATTCATTTATAAAGATTTTTTATTATAAGATGCAATTTTAAATAAAATATAGTTAATATTTTTTTATACATGTAAGTTATAATTTTAATTTGAAAAATACGTATTTAACAATAATATCTGATCTTATTGTGATGTTAATAATCTTAAGATATTTAGTTTTTAATTGCATAATTAGTTAATTATTTATTCTTGCGTTACATATTGTATCATAAATATATTGCAATTATATTTTATAGAAACATTATTTAATTAGGTTTTTTGTTATAAAGCTTAATTATAAAAAAAATTATTCTTTTATAATATTTTGAAAACTTAATCCAATTTATAAAAAATTTTGTTGCATATTTTTATGATATCCATTTTTTTCAATTTTGTTTTAATTTAAAATTGATTTATTTAATAGATTAAATTCTTTTTTTTTTTGAAAATTTAAAAGTTAATAATGAAGAAATATTTTAAAATATTGATCTAAAATATA